ATTTTTGGTGAGATGGGGTGTCACTGTATTTCTCAGGCTTTCCAAAAACTTTCGAGCTTTGGAGCCAGGTATGGAGTTATGTGCTTATAATCCCAGCACTCAGGAGGCCACAGCAGGAGGATTGCTGGGAGTTTTTGGCCAGCCTGACCTACACAGTGAGTTCAAGGCCAGCCTGGAATACAAAGAGAGGCCCTGTTTCAAAACAAGACAAAACAAAACAAAAACACCTTGTGGGCTCTAATGATCCTCCTGTTTCAGTTTTCTGAATAGCTGGAACTACAGACATGTACCAGCAGGCCTGGTTTCCTCTTCCATTTTTATATCAGTACAAGTTACATTGATTTTAGGAATGTACACTTTATAATGAACCCCTTATATAAGGATGACAATATCTCTGGTGATGGTTGCCACCGCTCTAAGCAAACCCCCTTTAGCATATGGAGCCATGTCTCTGTTCCTAATTCAAACTCTACCCCAGGAATAAAAATGAGATTAACAATGGTGCAGGCTTTTGGTTTCATTTCAATCAACATTCTGTGTTACTATGTGCCAGGCACTTTGCTAGGAGCTGTCGATGTAGAGGTTGATTAAGACAGTCCCTGCATTAAGAAATCTATCTAGGGATGTTGGTGGGCCAGGGGACAGCAGTGGTAACAAACAAGTTAAAAAACAACAACAAAGATTACCCAAGGTACTATAAAAACAGAGTACCTAATCCAGAGAGGAATCCAGATTTAGCCACATAGTCTAAGCCTATACTGGATTAAGAACAGGAACTTCAGGGACTGTAGAAGCCTCTACTTTTTAATGATACCTACTATTCATTGAGCACTTACTATGTACCAAGTATTGTGCCAAGTGCTTTGCATCTATCACCATTCAGTCACTTAGTCCCTCAAGGGAAGTCATTGCCCCTTTAAAAATGGGAAGATTGAAGTGTGGAGAGGTTAAGCAACTTCCCCAAAGTTATAGAGGTGGTAAGAGGAAGGCAACAATTTATATCCAGGACTATCTAATTCCAGGGATTAGCTCAAGGGATTCTTTAGAGGAGCTGTAAATCTGAGTGCCAT